AAACAAGTGTCAGTATGTTCAGTTGACACTAGGGAGAGTTATGTGGGCTTCCAGAAGGATTCTAACTTCAGAATCCAGAAGCACTTTCTAGAGAAGGCAAAGCAATCACATTCTGAAGGAGCCTGTGGAACATGAAGTAGCCTGTGGCTGTGAAATCAGATTCCTAAACTGTGTACATGTAGAACAAGGAATAAAACAGAGTCTCAGTTCAGAGGGTTTTAAATGTTTAACAAAACAATTTTCATTTTTTCAAAATAAGAGTTGCTTGGGAGACTATGCAGTTGGTGTGACACACTGGAGGAGTGCTTACAAAAGAAGCATGAGGACCTGAGTTCAGGTTCCAGACACCTACATTAAATACTGGGCTTCTCTAACCCAAGCACCAAGGGGAGAAGCAGGCAGACCCCAGGAGTTCACTGTCCCAGTGAGAGACTCCATCTCAAAAATTCAGGTGGTAATCAATAAAGAAAGTCTTCCAAGATACACACACACACACACACACACACACACACACACACGCATATGTACACACACATGCATATGTACACACACAGGTGTAAAGAGAAGCCTTTTCCTTGCCAGCAGCTTGATTTTTCCCCACCAATTGCCTGGGCTCTGCTGCGTTGTAGTCCCCAAATAACACACAAGACTCTGTATTAATTATGAAGCTGTTGGCCTTGCTTGTTTCTTACTGGCTAGTTCTGACTTAAGTATTTATCCCATAATTGTTAATCTAAGTATTTCTCTTACCAGAGAAGAGTTCCACACATTTACTTCTCTGGCGGGCTACATCGTGACTCCTTGTGTTTCTCCTACCCAGAGTCCTCCTCGACTCCTAGTCCCACCTATCTTGCTTCCCTATTGGCCAACAGTGCTTAATTTACATATACACAGGACTTCCCCAACACACAGGCACATGCACACACACATGCACAAATGCAGGCACACACAAATGCACACACACACACAAACAAACACACAAATTTGCCTGCTTTTCTTTGTTATAGAGCCAGCAACAGGATGTGTCCTGCATAGTTGGTGTTAAAGATGTCTTTACAAGAACCAAGGAACAGTGAACTTCTTTATCTTTAAATTGGAAGCTTCTTTATTCTTCTCAGACCCCATTCTAAGTTTCCAGCAATATTGTAGTATCAAATGGCAGGATGTAGAAGCAGTTCACCAAGTCCTATCTGCCTGCAGTTGGCTGTACCTTTTTCATAGAGGCCACCAGGTCTTGATTAGGGCCTATGGTTTTCCCTTTCAGACCTCCCCTGCAATACTGATTATGAATATAAATACTGACATAACTCTAGACTATAGTCTTGAATTGTCTGCATTTTACATTTTCTCCATTACACCAGATGTTGACTGAAGAACTTCTCTTCTCTTTCAGCTTTGTACATTCTGTTCAGGGACAATGCCAACACACAGTAGACTTTAAAGATATTCAGGTAAAAGAAATAAAGAAGGAGATTAGAGGGCCAGTTAGATGGCTCAGCGAGGAAAGGTACTTTCTGCCGAGGATGACTCTCTGAGTTTGATCCTTGGGACTCAAATGGTAGAAGGAAAGAATCAATTACTAGAAGTTGTCCTCTGACCTTTACATACATACTGTGGCATGCAAGACCCCACCCAGGGTACATATGTAAGTTCATGTGCCAACACACTCCCATATGCACACTAAATAAATAAATATAACTTTAAAAGCATGGGATTAGACAAACAGGCATGGTGCTTCACCCCTGTGATTCCACACTTTATGAGGCTGAGGCAGGGGAATGTAGAATTCAAGAACAACGTGAACAGTACAATAGATCCTGTCTTTAAAAACAAGAAAAGCCCTAAAAACAATGATACAAAGAATGAGATTAGTCTGATTTTATGTCTCCTGCGATAAAATTGCCTTGGAACATTTTATTACTATTAGGAACCTCAGATTTACACTTTAAGAATAATTCATAACACAAAATAATAGAGGCACTGCTGTTTATTTGTTAAGCCATTTCTGGTTGTGGTGTCATAGATGGAACTGAGGGACCTACACATGCTGCCTGATTTCTCTACCTCTGGTTGCAGGCCCAGCTCCTATATTTGTTAACGAGTAATACCACAGTGGGTATTATTTGTAATGAGCTAATGCCTAGTGCATACAGTAGAACCAAAGTCAACGGTTTGTGCTTCCTATTTGCTGACAAGAAGCTGCAGAAACTCATGGGAAGATGTGCCCTGGAGAGTACAGGCTATTAAAATGGCAAAGAAGACCTTTAATAGCCTGATGTTTCTGTGCTGACCTAGATGCCTGGAAGTTATCTTCAGAGACCATGACCATACCGAATCTGAGGGCTGCAAATTGCTTCTGCCCCATCTGAGTAAATCTACCCCGCTGCTTCAGAGCTATGGAATATATACAGGGCAAGTTTGCAGGCTATGGCAAAGGAACTCAGGATCAGCATTTGGCATGAATGAAACTTTAAAATGCCAAAGCCTGCTAGGCGTGGTGGTACAGTCCTCTAATCTCAGTACTTGGTATACAAACACATGTAGACTGCCATGAGTTTTAGGCAGCTTTGTGAGATGCTGAACAAACAAACAAACAAAAAAAAAGCAATCTGGACTTTCAAAATCCAATGTCCCATAAACAGCAAGATCAGGAGTAAAAGTAGAAAAAAATTCATAGAAATAGCTTTTACACTTCAAATGCTGTGAGCAGTATGACATCCTCCAGGATGGAGCGAGCCTTCATCCCATTTCACATAAGCTGGGAACAAGAACAGCTTTAAATAGTCTTTTCTTCTGCCTAAAATAAAGGATATGTTGCTCTAGAAAAAAAACATGTACATACACTCTCTCCTTTTTCCTATTAAGGCTAGTGTAACTAAAATCAACCCACAGGATTTTCTTTCTGCTCAAAACAAAACGAGCAGCCCAATTTTAGGGATTTTTAAAAAAAGAAGCTTCCCCCAGATACTCTCCCTAAAAATGTCCCATATTTTTAGGTTATTTAGGCTATCTATGTGTGTCAGCATATGTTACAGCTTTGAGTATAGCATTTCTGTTTGAACTTGGTTCCCTGTGGCCATCTTTGAAATACTTCACATAATATGGGGTATTTTAAGAACATACAAAACTAATTTCAAACATAGAAGGTAAAGAGCATCAAACATAGATAAAATTCAAAATAAATTTGTAACCTTATGAAGATGAGTGACTTTCACCCTGGAAGAGTTAGGAGGAGACCATGACAGTGTCTACATCAATTAAAAAGGCCATAGAAAAGTCCCCAGAAGGTTCGATTTGCAAACATAATTGAATTTGTCATTAAAGAACTACAATTTCAAAAATTATAAGCCAGGAACAATACCACACATCCGTGATCTCAATATTTTTACAGCAAGATGGAAGGCAGAGAGTCTAGAGAGATGGCCCAGGCCCTAAGATTCCCAGCACATGTGGGCTCACACCTCAGTGAAAATCTAGTCCCAGGAATCTTACGTCCTCTTCTGGGCTCCACACACACAGTGTGCAGACATACATGTAGCTACCACACCCATACATATAAAATTCAATAGGTAAATAAGAAGGTGGGAGGCAGATACTGGCTTCTCAGCTTACTGATAATGCATCTGAGACTTTACTTAGGAAGCTGGCTCTGTCTGAGCCCGTCTATCACTTCGACACCAGCATCCCAGAAAGAAGCTACCTCTGACTGCTGGGAAGAAGCGTCAGTAGTCTCCAAAGTGTTCTATCCACAGGCATTAGGATCTGAGTTCCATCTCCACCACTCACTTAGAAAGCTGGGTGTATTTGATGCTTTTGTAATACCATAGCTGGGAAATAAAGCCACCAAAGTCCTAGGGTTACAAGGTCCAGGTTCAGCAAGGGACTTGAGCTCTAAAAATAACATGAAGAGCAATAGATGAAGACAAATGGCCTTCTCTTTGAACTCTCCACATGTGCACAAACACACATACACACACAGACACTACCTAAGAAATTGTCTTGTGGTATGATTGTTCTTTTTCTTCTCTTCTTCACCATCTTCTCCTGTCACCCTCTTCTTTACCCCCCTTCTGCTTCTTCTTTTCATCCACCCACTCCTCTTTCTTTCTCTTCACCTTATCTGTTATTTTTATTCATCATTATTATCATCATCATTGGTAATCTTGTTAGTGTATATGTGTGTCATGTGCATGGAGAGGTGGGAAAGCGCATGCCGCATCACTTGCATGGAAGTCATAGGACAACTTTGAGGAATCAGCTCTCTCTTTCCACCTCACTGAGGCAGGTTCTCTTTTGTTTCTGCTGTGCTGTCTACCCTGGGATCTCTGAACTGTGAGGTCCCTGGAGATTCTCCCGAAAACTGATCTGTAGATGAGCACCACCACATCCGGCTGTCCCATTCGGTTCCAGGGATCCAGCTCACACTGTCAACATCACATAGGAAGCGCTGGCACTTTCACCTGCTGGGTCCCTGTGGTCTCTTCTCTTTCTCTTTTCCTTTTCTTCTTCTCCTTCTCTTCTTCTGCTAACACATCTTCATCTTCTTCCTTTTTAGATTATTTTTCAAGTCTGAAGCAAAAACTCATGGGCAGATCATGGCCTTTCTCTCTTGTTGAAACAGACTCTTGCCGGGACTCTGTGGCCAAGCTCCCCCTTGGTTTTGTTCTTTTGTTGCTGTTGTTTGGTCTAATTCACATTAGTTTCTCCACAACTCGCTGTTGCATTTTCTCAACACCTAGGGCTGTGGCCAGTAGAGCACTGTGAATTTTAACCTTAGTTTTCATTGACAACTTGAAAGATTGGCAATCTGGTGGGATATTGTTGCTGCAGAATATATCTACACTTGCCTGACAGGGCATCTCCAGAGAGTATTTACTGAGTGGGGAAGCTGCTTCCAAATACAGACTGACAAAATCTGAGGGCCTTAGAACCAAACAGAACAAGAAGGGGTTAACACCAGAGTGCTAACTGAACATTGGAGTTCTCCATTTTGTTTCCAGCCCCACCATGCTATGAACTGTTCTACTCTACTATGTCTTCCGGCATGATGGATGGACGCCTTTGAAATGGAGAGCAAAAATGAACAGTTCGCTCCATAAGTTCTCAGAACCATGCTCACAGAGGTGAAAAAGCTGTTAAGGTAGGTGTTCTGGTGACTTATTGGTTTTGCTTCCTTCTAGGACATTGCCTGAAAATCCTAGCCTCTTTTAGACATGGGGCCATAACATCTGTTCCATGAAAGCTGTCAGAGAGCCTCAAATCCAGGATGCTCATGTATTCTAGCTCCTCTATCAATCTTCCAAAGGAAGTATGAGATGCCCTTCCAAGTCTCTGAGTGCCAGTGACTGACCCCAGCTTTCAGGCACTTTGAGTATACCAAGGATTTGATGGCTGATCCTTCCCCTCTCTGATACTAACTGCAGTCATTCAGCTTGACCTGTGGCCCTTGAATCTATCTTCATTTCCTATTCTCCTGATCTCGCCACCACTCTGTTTCCACCCATCTTGCCCTTGACAGCATTGTCTTCATCATAACACAGCAGGCTTATCTTCTCCGTTGTGTCCTGTGTTCGATGTACATTCCATCCCAAACTTTAACCAGAAAGGCATTTCCAAGATCTCCACAGCCACCATCAAGTAACCCACCATATTTTAATATGAAAATTTAAGATCAAATAAACATTTACAGACCAATTTCTATCTGTGCCTCCCACTCTGCTTCTTCCCACACCGCATTCATCACTAACCATGTTCTTTCTGCCTGGGAGCATGCGCTCCCTCCCTCCCTTTCTCCCTCCCTCCCTTTTCTGTGTGTGTCTCTCCCTCTCTTTCTTTCCCTTCCCCACTTATTTCCACAGCTGCCTTTACTTCCCCACTTTTCTCTCCCTCTTCTTTTCCTCTTTCTTCCCTTTCTTTTCTTTCCCGCGTGTTTCTTCTGCCTCATATTCTCTTGCTCCCTTTCCTTTTCACTGACACTCACTTCCTTTAATTTTCTCTCCTTCTTCCTTCCTTTCCTTCTTCCTTCCTTTTTTTCTCCATCTTAGACGTTCCCTTTCTCCCCCACCTTCATTTGTCTCCTCGATCCCTTCCATCTCTATCCCTCACCCCCTTTTCCATTCCTCCTCCCTATTTTCTTCTCTTCCTCCTCTTTGCCCCCTCCCTCTTCCCTTCATTTCTCACACAGCTTCATATTTCCATTACTACATTGTCAAAATGCTTTCCTCTTAAGTCAAATCCCTTTAACATTTTAATTACATTTTCTTATTTTATTTATCAATTTAAAGTTCTTTCCCCTGCCCTATAGATGGTTCTTTTTTCTGTTTTTTTTTCTTGTATTGTTTTGAGCCTTTCCTGGAAAGGAACTCACTCTGTAGACTAGACTGGCCTCAAACTCACAGAGATCTGCCTGCCTTTGCCTCCTGAGTGCTGGAATTACAAGTGTGCACCACCACCGCCCGGCCTGGTGATATATTCTTTCAGGGCCTTTGTGCATTCATTTTAGAAATATGTATTTTATTATTTTTGTGTGTGTAGCAGTGTCTTGCCTGCATGTGTATAGATGTCCAATGTGTATGTAGTGTCTACAGAAGCCAAACGTGGAGTCATAGACAGTTGTGAGTAGCTATGTAAATGCCATGTGCTGGGAACCATCCCAGGTCCTTTGCAGGAGCACCCTTTTTGCCCTCAGAAACTCACTGTAAGTCTGGCTCCTTACAGGGATAGATATGTCTTTTTATGGACTTGATATTTTTCAGTCCTCCAGGCTCCTTCGTATTCATGGTTATAGGAAGCAATTAAAATTGACATAGGTGTGTGTGTGTGTGTGTGTGTGTTGTATTCTCATATGTGCATGTGCAGAGAACATCAGGACATCATTGAACATTCTCCTCTACTGCTTTCTGCCTTGTTTCTTTGTGGCAGGTTCCTCCCCTGATCCAGGGACTTGTGATTTTTTGTACTCTGCTGTGGCTAGCAAACACCAGAGACCTTTCTGTCTTTAACCAGCAAGTCTTCTTACCCACTGAGTCATTTCCCCAGTCCTAGTGCTACATACTTTTAAGTACATGTTATGATGGGAACAGGGTATTAGAATCTTATTACTGGAATTTTACACATTGAGTACACCATTTTATTCAACTATAAAGGCCATATCATGTGTTAGTTTCTGAGCAAAATAATGTATCATAAGGACACTTTGCAGTTTTAAAGTACCACATGGAAATTCCAAGGTGATAGTGTTGTTATCACCACCATCACCATCACCATCATCACCACCACCACCACCATCACCATCACCACCATCATCACATCATCATCTTATATTACATAATTTTAGTGCTATGGACACATTAGGAATTAAATTCAATAATTCCATCACAGAAATAAACAAGAGAATAGTTTAAATCCTTAGTGCTAAGCTGCTTTAGAAATTACTGTATTCATATGGCTTACCACATGACCAATAAATGTTAATCTTAAGGTTACCACAGAAAGTAAGCTAACAGAGGACCCAAGGTCATTTTTTCTTGCTAGTAAGGCTATTAACTAAATTTTATTCTAAGAATTTTGAGTTGAAAGGCTTTTTTTTCCCCTAAGTATCCATCTGATTTTCTTATAGTGAAGTGACATACTTAAAGATAACAAGTGGTTCTGTTACTCCCTAGAATTGAGGATTGTGGATTGATTCATGAGGGAAGAGGGGAACAGCTTTTGAAGTCTGGCTTTGGTAGGAACTGCTACAGGAATTTGGGAGAGATAGCTCGCCATCAGAGCCTTGTGCTCCCAGAGAAGTGGTAAAGAAGGCTCATTCTGTAGTCATAAATAGGACAGTCCTGTCTGTCCTGCACAATTGTGACAGCATGGTTTTGTGTTGATTGATTGTCAAGGGTTCCCGCGACTGTGGCCAAGACCACCATGCAATTTGCAAGCCAGCTTTTCTCATTTTAGATAAGATGCTTGGGGCTGCCTAAGAGTTTGTTTGAGCCCTGATGACACATGGTATCAAAAATGCCTACTTTAAATGGAGAGAAGCTATATACTCCCAACTGCAAGATGCTGGCACCAGCACGTTTGACGATGTCTTTAATCTACATAGTTGATATTTGAGACACATATCTGAACTGAGCTCCCAGTCTCTCATTTCCTGTGTCATAATCAGGTTCTTTACATCTCTCTAAGCCTTAATTTATGGACTCTATTTTTATTACTCCTGTTTAACAGATAGTAATCAGATTCAGGGAGCTTCAGAGGCTTGCCCAAAGTCCTTCCTCTACAAATCAGCTGCTGAACCTTCACAAAATTATACTACCATTGTTCATGGCTTCGTCTTGGCCAGAATCCACTGGAAGTTTCCATGATGCAAGGAAACATAATTCTGATTACTGTTATGTGCAGAACAGGTGCCTGCCCATCCTCGCAGCCACAAGGAAGCCTTTACCTGCAAGTCAGTATAGATGTGCTTGAACCTTGATCCCTCCCAAAGGCCATTGTCTTTACAATATGTCTTTCTACTTTACACAAGCTAATTGGTCTCCTTAGGGCAAGCTTCCAATGTCCTCTGACCCCATCTTCAGGTAACATGTTCTTCTCATCTTCTGAAACTGGGACACTGTGTGAGGTGAACACTTGAGTTTTCTCTGTCTGCTATGCTGGTGAATAGCAAGCACCAGAGATCTCGTGGTCTTCAATACTCCCACAGTTCTGTCCAGTGCTAGGGTTACAGGCATGATCTAATATCTAATGCTGAGGACCCAAACTTGGGTTCATGCTTAAGCAGTAAGTGCTCTTACATGCTAAGCCATCTCCCTCATCCTGGCGTCATAGCCTAGAAGTTACACAGTTTGTTGTCCTCGTGTTTTAGCCTAGCAAGGAACATATTCTGTTGTCCTTGTATCATAGCCTAGCAGGTGCATACATTGAAGTTTGGTGTAAGGAAAGGAGAAGGCATTAAAAAGGCTGTGTTATTTCACCAGTGGAAAAGGAAACCCTCTCATCTCCATGTCTCTGAGAAAAGCCTTCAGTAGCACTATCATCAATTGATACCCATTCACCAGTGAGTGACCTTGGTATGCAAACCTGTTGTGGGAAAGAGCCTTGTGGGGATCAGTGGGCAGTTGGACCTCAGGTCTTAGGAGACAGAGGCATAATGAAGGTCAGTTATACCAAAGTCTAGAAGTAGTTCCTACTCCCCAGGGGCAGGTGACATTTTCACTGGGAAATAGGCCCTAATTTACCCTCTTCTGTATATGACTATCAGGGACCATTCCAGTTGCTTAGAGAATAGAGTGTTATTCATTAAATGTTGGATGAACACTACATTTGCTCTCACTTTCCCTCTCCTTCATCTTAATTTTTCTCATCCTTTTCCCTCCTCCTTTCTTCCCTGCCTTTCTCTCATTCTTCTCTCTTTCTCTGTCTTTCTCTCATCCCTACCTCTCTACTTCCCTTTCTCCCTCCCTGTACTTGCTGGGAAATGAACCTCCCTTCTTTCCCTAGGCCACCACTGGTTATCTGGAACTGGGTTCCTGGGGAATCATTCAAAAACAGCTACTTGGACAAAAGGATGAAAATCAGTAACTATGCCTGGAATGAAATCAGGAGAATAGAGTTCCCTTCAATAGCCTAGGATCAAAAATGTGTGCCATTATTACATAAGGATAGTATACTAACAAGGCCAAAATGCCTTTGGGCTCATTGAAACTCAAAAGTCTTGGCTCAAGAATTATTTTTAGATATTATAGGCTACTGAGATGACTCAGCAAGTAAAGGCAAGCAAGTCTGATGGACGAGTTTGATCCCTGGGGACCCACTTGATGATAAGAGAGCACACACACCATTTGCCACAGACCAAAGAAGTAAATGGATTTAATTGAAAACTTAAAAATTACTTGAAACTTCTTCACCAATAAAGTTTGTGAGACAGAGAAGGCGTGACAGAGAGACAGAGACACAGAGAGAGACAGAAAGAGAGAAAGAGAAAGACACAGAGAGAGAGAGAAAGATAGATAGAGAGAGAGAGAGAGAGAGAGAGAGAGAGAGAGAGAGAGAGAGAGAGAACACCTGCTCTAAAGCGCTAATGAAAACACTGACCTGATGATGGCATGGGGAGATACTCACTGTCTGTATTTTCGCCAGCCCTGT